GTGCGGGCGGGAGCGGCCGAGAGCCCAGCGCTGCCCCAGCCCGAGCTGCCCCAGCTCCATCGCTGCCCCTGCGCTGGGATGCTGTGGGTTTGGGGGGAAGAGGGAGCCGGCAGTGGTTGCTGGGCCTGGGGGCAGCAGGAGAAGGGAAGGAGGAGCAGCGTTGAAGAAGAAAATGGTCAAACAATGCATATCGGAGGAGAAGGTGGGATTTTGCATGTGAAGGAAAAATAGTAGGAGGAAGAGAAACGTGAGGAAAAGCAGGGTCACAGGACAAGGAGAACCAGAAACGGGAAGCAATGCAATTTTCCATCCCTCCCTCTATCTGCAGCCTCCCCCCCACATCCCCAGGTGCATTGCCCCCCTCCAAATGCAGCAGGTGACCAGAGAGGAGGATCTATGATTTTCTGAAGGGTAAATCTAGGTGTTTGAAAGCTTTATTGGGGTAAAACTTGGTGCTTTAAGTTTTTTGCGGGGCTTGAATCTTTATATTTTGAGGGGGTTTTGGCTGAATCTTGCTTTTTTTGGCTGTTTTTGATATCTATCTTGAGGTCTGGCGGACTTTTGTGCTGAATCTTGGTGTCTTAGAGGTTCTTACAGACACAATATGGCCAGTGATTTTCTGAGATGAACTTGGGCAAGGGGGAACCTCCAGCTCAAGGCACTTCGCTCTTGTTTTTTCCCCAAACCAGGATTTTTCATTCCCAAAGCGTTGGCAAATGGAGGAGGAGGAAAAGCCCCGGAGATCCCTCTTGAGGAGGGGCTGCAAACCCAGCCCAGGGAGCTGCAAGGAGGAAAGACCCTCCCTGAGCCGGGAAGGCGGCCGGAGATGCAGGCAGAGCTCAGAGCTGGTGGAGAAGCCTCCTGGAGGGGAGAAGCCCCACAAGTGCTTGGAATGTGGGAAGGGTTTCAGGTGGAGCTGCGAGCTGATCCGGCACCAGAGGATCCACACTGGGGAGAAGTCCTACTGGTGTGGGAAATGTGGGAAAAGCTTCAGGGACAGCAACTACCTTATGCAGCACCAAGTGATCCACACAGGAGAACGGCCCTACACCTGCTTGGAATGTGGGAAGACCTTTGGGTGGATGTCCTACCTGAGAAACCACCAGCACATCCACGCTAGGGAGAGGCCCTACGAGTGTCGCAAGTGTGGGAAGAGGTTTCAGACCAGCTCCAAGCTCCTCAGACATGAGCGGATTCACACAGAGGAGAGGCCCTTCCGCTGCCCCGACTGCGGGAAGGGATTCGGGCACAACTCCCATCTCACTGTCCACCGACGCATCCACACTGGGGAGAGGCCCTACGAGTGTCCTGAGTGTGGGAAGAGCTTCTTACAGAGCTCAACCTTGACCCGACACCAACGGAGGCACCACTAAGGGAAGCCCTGTGAGTGCCCCGAGTGTGGGAAGAGCTTC